CTACGTGTTTTTGGCTGTGAGACGTAGTTTGGACAAAGTTGTCGGCGATTCTTCCTATAGTAAAATCATGCAATGTGAAAGTCCCTGTCGCCGATCCATCTTGCAGTGTAAACAAAGCAGCGACGAAACGCTAGCCCAGAGCCCGTGTCAAAACATCTGTGACACGACTTCTTTGAAAATCATGAAAAACACAGTAAAACATAGTAAAATGTTCTACATAGTAAAATAGTAAAAATATACCGTTGAAACCAGAAGTTTACATACACTCAAAAAAAAAAAAGGGACATAACTATTTTTTTTAAATGTCAGATGGTAAATCATTCTAAACCTTTACTAATTTATTTCTGTTAGGTTTTACCTAAATGATTTACATTTGCTAAGTGCCAGAATAATGAGAATTTTTTTTGAGAGCGTCAGATTTAAACTGAGTCAGATTTGTTGGCTTTGTCTTGCTTTTTCAACTCTGCCCACAAATTTTCTATAGGATTAATATCAGGGATTTGTGATGGCCACTCCAAAACATTCACTCTGTTGTCCTGAAAGCACATTTTAACTAATTTGGCAGTATGCTTAGGGTCATGGTCTGCTTGGAAAACCCATTTGTGGCCAAGTTGTAATTTCCTGGCGGATGTCTTGAGATGTTGCTTCAGTATTTCTACATAATGTTCTTTCTTCATGATGCCATCTATGCTGTGAAGTGGACCAGTCGCTCCTGCCGCAAAACAGCCCCACAACATGATGCTGCTGCCCCCATTTTTCACAGTTGGGATGGTGTTCCTAGGCTTGTAAGCTTTCCCCTTTGTCCTCCAAATGTAACACTGGTCATTATGGCCAAACAGATCAATCGTAGTTTCATCAGACCACAGGACATGTCTACAAAATGTAGTCATTTTCCCAGTGTTATTTAGCTAATTATAATCTGGCTGTTTTTTGTTGATTCTGGCTTGTTGGTTTCCCCATGTTGTCACACAAGGGAGCAGCGTGTTCATGGTTTTCCTTGAATGCTATTTTATAGTTGTGCCTCCAATTAACTCAAATGTTGTCAATCAGCCAATCAGAAACTTCCTGAACCTTGACACCATCGTCTGAGCTTTTTCAGAGGCAGAATAATCTTATTGTATGTAAACTTGACTTTCAAGAAAAGTTCTAACAATTTCTCAACAAATATCTCTCTCATTATTCTGATATTAAACATAACAGAAACACATTTGATAATCCTAACATACCTAAAAGAGAAACAGTTTAGTTACATTAACATCTGACTTTTTTTTTTTAAATGATCATGTGCCTTTTTACACAGTGTATGTAAACGTCTGGTTTCAACTGTAAATGCATAAATATATACTGAAGTCACAATTATTAGCAATTTTTTTTTTCTTTTTTCAAATGTTTCCCAAATGATGTTTAACAGAGCAAGGAATTTTTCACAGTATGTCTGATAATATTTTTTCTCCTGAAGAAAGTCTTTTTTGTTTTATTTCGGCTAGAATAAAAGCAGTTTTTAATTTTTTAAAGCCACTTTAAGGTCACAATTATTAGCCCCCTTAAGCAGTATTTGTTTTCGACTGTCTACAGAACAAACCATCATTATACAATAACTTGCATAATTACCCTAAGCTGCCTAGTTAACCCAGTTAAGCCTTTAAATGTCACTTTAAGCTGTATAGAAGTGTCTTGAAAAATAGCTAGTCAAATATTATTTACTGTCATCATGGCAAAGATAAAATAAATCCGTAATTAGAAATGAGTTATTAAAACTATTATGTGTAGAAATGTGCTAAAAAAAAATTCTTTCCCTTAAACAGAAATTGTGAAGCAAAATATATACAGGGGGGCTAATAATTCTGACTTCAGCTGTATATTAATCCTCTGAATTTCAGTGTGTTTGTGATGCAGAAATGATGTCCCTCCTCCTGACGAAGGAGGTGCGTTTGACCCCACATACAAACTTCAGGCTCCTCATGGATCAAATCCCACACACAAACACACACTGTCTTTCCGAACACACAACAAGACACGATCATCCTACGAAAACATGCAGAAGAACAACTCACTCCTCTAAACCTTAGGAGGAAAGGTAAGAACACTCACAGCTTCATTCATAACGCGTGTTTGAGTACAGTTCACTGAAGAGAGGGACTCATGATAAAGAACATGGAAGTGTATTGTAATTTGTGAATCAGACTATAGTGTGAAAGTGCATCAGAGTTTGCTTCTTGTATGTTAGTGTTCAGAGCACATGTGAAAAATAAGCGTGGAAAAATAAGCACAGCATGTTTTTCCCGTGATATGTGTTTGCATGTATACAGAGAGAGTACCCTCATTTACCTGTTTGGGTATTTTAGATGACAAAGCATATGTTTGGTGGGATCTGCAGCAGGATTTTAGACACTGACAAAAGCACAACACTGAGATCTATGCATGAAAACTCATGTTAAAGAGCGGTTATTCGAGTGAAAAATAGGCAGCCTCCCAAACATGTCAAGCTATTCTGCCAAATTCTGACTTAAAGTTAGAGTTCAAGGGGCGGCACGGTGGCTCAGTGGTTAGCGCCGTTGCATTAGAGTAAGAAGGTCGCTGGTTCGAGCCCCGGCTGGGTCAATTGGCATCTCTGTGTGGAGTTTGCATGTTCTCCCTGTGTTCGTGTGGTATTCCTTTCTCGAACTCGGGTCACCGTGAGCACATCGGTGCTATAGACAAATGACCGGTTTGTAAACATTCAGGATGTACACGCATCGAGGTTGCAGAAAAAAACAAGAGCGCTAGCTTTTACAGCGAAGGAATGACCTCCAATGCGCTACAGAGTACAGAGTTTGTTGATGTCTTAGAGATAAGTTATATTGATTACATATTATATATATTATTTGCATAATGCTTTCAGCGTATTATACCCACATAGCAAAATTTCTCTGGCCCAGATCTGGCCCACACTATCAGGTTTTGCTTGGCCCACATGCCACAGTGAATTACGGTACATGACTGGACCAAATCTGGCTTCCAGACAAGGGCCAAACAATGACCATATCTGGGCCAAGTCTCAGCCAAGTTAAAAACTCATAACTGGGCCTGAACTGGGCCAGATAGGTTGGTGTGTCACGATTGCAATGAAATTGATAAACTATGGAGTGATGCGCTTTAGGCACACTATGGGCACGCTTTTTCTCAAAATGACCTGATTGGTAGAATTTTTTTTCTTTACTCAAAAATGATTTTAGTGTATTTTAAATGTGGGTCAAGACTGGCCAAACTCACATGGCCCACTTATCAAATTTTTAAATCTGGGCCAAATACTACATCTTTCATCTGGCCCAAATCTTGTGTGCCGCCTTAAAGACGGTGCCACCTCTGCCAAACCCGGGCCATGTTTGGCCCACATGCTGTATGCCAGTGCTGGATGAATGCCGGCTGTGCCAGCTTTATGCCAAATCTGGGCCAGAATTCTTTGCTACTAGGGTAGCAGCTTGTCACCCAGTGATAAGCACAGTGATTCGGTAAAATGAACAATAAAGTGAGCGGCGTTCGTCTGACAGGTCCATTTGTTATTGCACCCTCCCAATGGATATTGGATAAGACGAAATGGGCACAATACACAACTATCTCACTGAAACTCCAAGTGCTTTTACAAGAGAGAAGTGAAAGGCCTACAAGTCTTTGGATGCCTACAATTTTGTTCTGTGTGGTCACGTGCAAGAAATAATGATCCATGATTACCAGATTCAAAACTATGTAGTGCTAGACGGAGCTGTAGAAGGCCTGAGTAAGCATCAACAAGCAAAACAACTGCATTCTGACAGCAAACTGCACCTGCACGGCAGGGTATGTGAATGTACATGTTTACATTTCATTCTTAGCATTCAGTGTCCACAGTTTAATACACCATATTTAACTGTTTTTGCTGAAATCATTGCTGCAATTAAAAGCGAGTAATGTGTATGATGATTCAGCACAGCGTTTACTTACCTGATATAACACGAGAACTGCAGAGTCCAGTATTTTTAATTAGGTCGTCACTTCATTCAGCTCTTCTCAGGGCCGGAGTGGGACTCCTTTTCAGCCCTGGAGTTTCAAGCCTTAGACCGGCCCTCCTCAGTTCACGACTGACTATATTAAAATAAGGTCATTTCCAATTCAGTTTCTAATTACACTATCACGTCTTTTTCAAGAAAACAGCTGCTTTACAACTTCAAACGTTCAACAACCTTACTGCTTTATATGTTTTCACAATAAAAAAAATAAATAAATAAAATAAAAGAATTACCCAGATGTGGATCGAACATGGATCGACGGCGTCGTAACGCAATGTGCTGACCACTGGACCACAATGGTGCTGTTACGCTTATGTGGCCGGAATGATAGTTACATGATCATTGCTCATAGGGCTGCGAGACAATGAATAAGAAGAGGGGAGCTGCGGCAAAATAATAAATAAAAAGAGTGAGGCTATGATGAAATAAATAAATAAATGAAAAAAAAAAAAGGTGCGACTGCTGAGAGTGCAAGCAGCTAGAAACACCGGCCCTCGCGGCCAAAAAATGGACCGGCCCACCGGGGACTCTCCCAGTCCTCTCGATTGGCCAATCCGCGCCTGGCTCTTCTGATGGCTGTTAGCCAAAGACGTCTGCGGTTGGCATTAAAAGCAGTGTGGTGTACAGTAAAATTTAGGTTTTATATTTTTGGACTTTCAAATTCAGCACCCTACTATCACAACAAAACATGTTTGCTATTGCCATAGTTATTTACACTAGATATCACATACGGACCCCGAGCGTGCGTCAATAGCGCCGCCACATTTGTACAGTGCTCCCAGGACAAATGTCATTCAACCGCACTAGACAAGTCAGCATGTGAAGCTGTGTAGTAACGAGCAAACAAAGAAAACAAAACACAAAGGCCGAACATTCCATGGGTAAGATTTTGTTTTTGTTTTTTTGTGAGTAATAATAATAATCAAACATATTACTGACCATTTAACTGTTTATTTACAATGAAACCAATGAGCATATTTAGTAATTTGGGGATTTTTTTAAAGGGGGTCGGGGGAATCCCTTATAATAGTGGGCTTATCCCTTATTTTCACATACGAATGTTGACAGGCATGCATGCGTGCCGGTCCGTTTTTTTTTTTTTTATGTTTTCATGAGTATGGAGATTTTTATTTATTTATTTTTTAAATGAGAGTTGCTTCATTTATAAAAATACCTGTGCACATTTGGACATGGCCTACCCCTTTTTTACACAGGAACTAATGCTTAACAGTAAAGATACAAATTGTACCTCTTTCCAATAGGGAAAACCACCAACAATCAAGAATGCATGATCATATGCTGTCATGGCTTTGCAATCAATCAATGTAATTATAATGTAAGTCAATGGGGCGAAAACAGCCACAAACATAATGAATGGGTAGTCGATTTGCATTTATTGTTGAGATTTTGAAAGTTTTAAAAGCAATTTTCTTAATATGTGTCAAAATAAGATTTGCCACCAAAATATATCCATCTGCTGAAACGGAGAAAGTTGTGGCCAAACAAAGACTTCAAATCAGAGTGGATGAAAACATCCCCAACAGCACCCAAGGGTTAAATCATCTGAAAGTGACTGTTCTCAATGTGTTGTGCTTCATTAATCCTCTCTCTGGGCTTTGTTTTGTCCAGTAATGACTGGTTGAGTTAATTTGTGCCGTCAGTGAAGCGTAATGACAGTCACGTACACCGCCAGAGTAGCCAACGCTCGCTTCTGCGGCTTCTCCAAACTCCTGCTGGCCTGGAAGGGAAGCATCTATAAAGTCCTTTACAAAGAGTTTCTGGCCTTCTTCGCCATGTACACGGCCATCAGCATCACGTACAGGTGTGTGCATGTGTTTATGTCACGTCTGATGCTTTCATTATTTAGTTATGTATTCATTTTGGCATTCTTCCAGATTCTTCCTTGTGGACGGTCAGAAGAGATACTTCGAAAAGCTTTCCATTTACTGCGACAACTACGCCAGCCTCATCCCAATGTCTTTTGTTTTAGGTATGCGTAAGTTAATGAATTCATTGATTGAACGAATATGCGTAAATAAATAAGAGTAACACACACAAACACACACACACTACCTGACAAAAGTCTTGTCGCCTGTCCACATTTTAATAATTAATAACTTGACTTCTAGTTGATCATTTGGAATCAGAAGTGGCTTATATGAAAGGCAAAGGCCTCTAGGTTACGCTTATTTTACCAAAATAAAATATGATCATGCCTTGATTTTTAATTATTAAAGTTTAATAAAGTCAACTGGAACGACAAAGAAAGCATTTTTGCAGGACTTCCAGTGTTCATCAAGATTCTTTGGAATCATCTTCAATTCCTCCTCTTTCATCTAACCCCAGACATGCTCAATAATGTTCATGTCTGGTGACTGGGCTGGCCAATCCAAAAGCACCTTGACCTTCTTTTCATTCAAGAGCTTTGATGTGGAGGCTGAAGTATGCAGGGGCGGACTGGGACAAAAAAACAGCCCTGGCACTGTAGCCACACCGACACAGGCACACCCACGGACACGCACATTCACTACTTATATTGGTGTACAGATGGTCAAATACTATAAGCAGTAACTTACTGTATGACATATTTAAACATTTAATGTATGTGACTGGAACAAAAACAACTAATTTATACCAAATTTATACATACATTTCATTCATTCATTTTCTTTTCGGCTTAGTCCCTTTATTAATCTGCGTTCACCACAGCGAAATGAACCACCAATTTATCTAGCATATGTTTCGCACAGCATATACCCTCCCAGCTGCAATCCATCACTGGGAAACACCCATACACTATGGACAATTTAGCTTGCCCAATTCCCCTATAGCGCATGTGGTTGGACTGTGGGGGAATCCGGAGCACCCAGAGGAAGCCCACGCCAACACAGGGACGACATGCAAACTCCACATAGAAATGCCAACTGACCCAGCCGAGGCTCAAACCAGCGATCTTCTTGTGAGTTGACAGTGCTGCCCTTTGCGCCACCGCATTGCCCTCTTTCGATACTGATTTTAAAACCTGATTTTTTTTTTTGCAATCTCTGTGCTTTTCGGCACCGCCTTTCCTTTTTTATGGTCCATCTCTGACAATTTGCTTGTGTTGCACTTATTGTTTGACATTCTTGCCAAATTTTGATTACTTCTGCATAACCTCTGATTGGGTCAGCCCACCTCGAAACCACCCAGCCGATGCCGATTGGGCCAAATGCTTAACATTTTTTATTATTATTAATTTAATCATCATCATCATATTCACATCTTGCAAGAGATAAAAGCTGCCTGCATGTTAAAACAATATGTATAAAACATCTAAATAATTTTTTAAAAACCTGATCGGCCCACATTTAAAAAATGGTACGGCCCTTCTGGCATTTGCCAGAATTGCCAGATGGCCAGTCCGCCCCTGGAAGTATGAGAAGGAGAAGAATTTGCTCTCTCCTGTGGTTTGTAATGTAAAGGGGAGCACAAATGTCTTGATACCTCAGGCTGTTGATGTTGCAGATCTCACGCACGCCCATATACTGAATGTAAACCCAAACCATGATTTTTCCATTGCCAAACTTGACTGATTTCTGTGAAAGTCTTGGCTCCATATGGGTTCCAGTAGGTCTTCTGCAGGATTTGTGATGCAGTTCAACAGATGATTCATCAGAAACATTTACCTTCTGACACTTTTCCAAATGATCAACTGGGATCTACAGTATAAATATGAAGTCAGAATGATTAGCCCTCCTGAATTTTATTTACAAAATTTTAAAAGGGGATTTCTAGTTAGAACCTACAATCCTAATCCTGTTTGTATGTGTATTTTTTTTTGTGTGTGTGTGTGTGTGTGTATCTCGTGCAGGGTTTTACGTGACGCTAGTGGTGAACCGCTGGTGGAGTCAGTACACGTCCATCCCGCTGCCAGACAGAGTGATGTGTGTTCTGTCGGGTGGTGTTCAGGGCAGTGATGAGCGCGGACGGCTCCTGCGCCGCACACTGATGCGCTACAGCAGTCTGTCCGCTCTGCTGATCCTGCGCTCCGTCAGCACCGCCGTCTTCAAGAGATTCCCCACCATAGACCATGTGGTGGAGGCAGGTAAAGTCTGTTGACCACTCTCTGGAATCGCAACCTGCCAGAAAAACTCAGGCTCATTGGAGATATGTGCTCAGGGCTACATTTTTTGAGAACTGGGAAATGTACCAGAGTCTACGCTTTCTTGCAGTTTGGTTTTCACAAATCCACTAGAGGGCGCCATCTCAAACACGTAACTGGGGGCCGTTTTATTTTTTAGTGTTCAAAATTTTGAGTTTATATCACTTAATTGTTTTGATTTTGAAAAGATTTCTTTTCTGTTGACAATAATTATCTCACAATTCACACTTTCTTACAATTTTGGAGATGGTAGATATTATTTTGAGACATTAAATAAAAAAAGGGACTTACAAACCCACAAGAATGTGAGATATGAAGACAGAATTGCAAAAAAAATCAATTGGACTTTTTTTAACAATTGTTTTCTTTCTCAGGACAGTAGTTTTGAGGGTTTCCCCCCTAAAAATTGTGATAAGACAATTTAATTGCCTTTTTTCATGTGAAGAAAACTAACTTCCCTAAAAACACACAACATCTGCTCCTTCTAGGATTTATGACTCGCGAAGAGCGCAAGAAGTTTGAGAGTTTACACTCGCCATATAACAAGTACTGGATCCCGTGTGTGTGGTTCACTAACCTAGCCGCCGCTGCCCGCTGTGAGGGCCGAATCAAAGACGATAACACCTACAAGCTTCTGCTGGAGGTAAATACACTCAAGAATGGATTTATTAAAGTAAGAGTCAGAGTTGACCATTTTTTTTCATGGAAAAGGCGCTAAACCTTGCTCAGAGTTTTTAGATGACGTCATACTTCAATTTGCATGTTACTGACGTCATCTCATCCAACTGTTTCTGTTTAACAGCCTATGGTTATTAAAGCCTATGGTTGTTACTCGCACTATGCTTTATATATGCATGTCAGTTTAATTAGATGTATTTGAATACAGTATATCAGTACATTTCCCAGTACTGGGTTGTGGTTAGAATGGCATCCGCTGTGTAAAATATATGCCGGAATAGTTGGCTGTTCATTCCGCTGTGGCGACCCCTGATGAAGAAGGGACTAAATCAAAGGAAAATGAATGACAGATGTATATCAGTGCAGATGTGCAGTGAATCTGCAGTAATCTCTCAGACATAATAAACTCAGACAAATTGAGAAACTGGTGTCACTAAAATCTCTGCGATTGTGAACAATATAAGAGCAAGATAAGAATAAATGCTCAAATTAAATTGTTCGTTTTAAAACAGAGGCTGATTGTTTTGAAGCGACGCAGTGGGCAGCACGTTCGCCTCACAGCAAGAAAGTCGCTGGGTTGCTGGTTCGAGCCTCGGTTCAGTTGGCGTTTCTGTGTGGAGTTTGCATGTTCTCCCTGCGTTCGCATGGGTTTCCTCCGGGTGTTCCGGTTTCCCCCACAGTCCAAAGACATGTGGTACAGGTGAATTGGGTAGGCTAAATTGTCCGTAGTGTATGAGTGTGTGTGTGGATGTTTCCCAGAGATGGGTTGCGGCTGGAAGGGCATCCGCTGTGTAAAAACTTGCTGGATAAGTTGGCGGTTCATTCCGCTGTGGCGACCCCGCATTAATAAAGAGACTAAGCCGACAAGAAAATGAATAAATGAATAATAGTTTTGACTATATAGTTTGCCGTCAGTATGCAGAGAGGTGATCTGCTCTCAGACTGCAGGGGGAAAAATTACTGCTGGAGGACTGGGACACATCAGTTCCTCCAAAAATATCCACTAACACTGAAAAACGTCATTAAATTTGTCTAAAGATTGTTGCTAGGGGATTTAAAATTTCACTAAATATAACGACAATGAATTGGAAATTAAGATCAGCATAGTTATCTCAGGTGAGAGGATTTAATGACTGGAGGAAAATGATTCAATCTCTTCCAGTTATTTTCTATTTGATGCTGTTTTTTTAGGAGCTAAACAACTTCCGGGGGAAGTGCAGCATGCTGTTTCACTACGACATGATCAGCGTACCGTTGGTCTACACTCAGGTCAGATTCACGATTAAGGCAGAGTTTACACTAGTGTGTTTTTGACGTTCAAAATGGAGACTATTATAAACAACACACTTTTAGTCCATTTTAGTTAGAAAACACCATGGCTGCGTCCGAAACCGCCTTCTACTCAGTAGGTACTGCATTTGAATGTAAACGTACTACTCGGCCGTTCTATACAGTATGAATGTGAAAAGTATGAATGGAATTTGGACGTACTACATCCGCCATTTTGTCATGGTCACGCGACCCCCCTGCGTCATTTGCGTCGATTCACTCCCATTCACGAATACGCTTGCGGGGTATCATGGGATACCGCAGCGTGCATGGGATGCGCACTCCAGAATCTCGCCGGAAGTAGTAAGTCATCCGGGTACTTCTCGCATACTGATTTTCGAATTCTATGAATTCGGACATACTACTTGGCTCGCATACTGATTTTAGCGTACTATATAGTGTGGAAGTATGCAGTTTCTGACGCAGCCCATGTATTAGTGTAGAGATGGAAATAAACATGGCCTACACTGAATCTGAAGGTCATGTGATAGATTATGAGTTGGTGTTTTCCTGCAGGTCGTGACTCTGGCGGTCTACAGTTTCTTTCTTGTGTGTCTGATTGGTCGCCAGTTTCTGGATCCGGGTCAGGGTTACCCTGGTCATGACCTTGACCTTTACGTCCCCATCTTCACTCTCCTGCAGTTCTTTTTCTATGCGGGCTGGCTGAAGGTCAGGAATCAGAATCTCAACTCTAATTTAAATATTGAGATGCTCCTCCCACTTCATGTTTAACCCCGCCCAAATGAGTTTCGTTTCAAGATATATTAAACCAATATTAGCTGTTTATTCAGTCATTACTTTGTGTTTCCTCAGGTGGCAGAGCAGCTCATTAACCCATTTGGAGAGGATGATGATGACTTCGAGACCAACTGGCTGATTGATAGAAACTTCCAGGTATTATTTCTAATACATCAAATTAGTCTTTGTTCACTTTTTTGTTTTTAGATAATCACTATTAAGTTTGACAAGCTTAATTGTTAAATTTAGATTAACAACCATCAATATAGAATGATTTGCCTCATTACCCTAACTTGCCTAATTAACCTAGTTAAGCCTTTAAATGTCACTTTAAGCTGAATACTAGTGTCTTGAAAAATGTCTAGACAAATATCATGTACTGTCATCATGGCAAAGATAAATAAATCATTCATTAAAACGATTTTGTTTAGAAATGTGTTCCTGTCAAACAGAAATTGTGCTAAATATATACAGAGGGGCTAATAATAATAATAATAATAATAATAATAACAACAATAATAATAATAACAACAATAATAATAATAATAACAATAATAATAATAATAATAACAATAATAATAATAATAATATCAATAATAATAATAACAATAACAATAATAATAACAACAACAATAATAATAATAATAATAATACAAATAAAAAAATAATAACAATAATAATAATAACAATAATAATAATAACAACAATAATAATAATAATAATAACAATAATAATAATAACAATAATAATAATAACAACAATAATAATAATAACAATAATAATAATAATAACAATAATAATAATAATAACAACAATAATAATAATAACAATAACAATAATAATAATAATAATACAAAAAATATAATAATAACAATAATAATAATAACAACAATAATAATAATAACAATAATAATAATAATAATAACAATAATAATAATAATAATAATAATAATAATAATAATATCAATAATAATAATAACAATAATAATAATAATAATAACAATAACAACAATAATAATAATAATAACAATAATAATAATAATAATACAAATAAAAAAATAATAACAATAATAATAATAACAATAATAATAACAACAACAATAATAATAATAACAATAATAATAATAATAACAACAATAATAATAATAACAATAACAATAATAATACAAAAAATATAATAATAACAATAATAATAACAACAACAATAATAATAATAACAATAATAATAATAATAATAATAACAATAATAATAATAACAATAATAATACTACTACTACTACTACTACTAATAATAATAATAATAATAATAACAATAATAACAATAGCAATAATAACAATAATAATAATAATAATAATAAGCATTCAGATTTCAACTGTATGTGTGTTGAACAGGTGTCTATGATGGCAGTGGATGAGATGTATGGGGATTTACCCATGATGGAGAGAGATCGCTACTGGAACGACTCCAATCCTCGTCCACCGTACACTGCCGCAACGCTCTTCGTGCTGCGCAAACCCTCTTTCCAGGGCTCCACCTTCGACATGACGTCAGTGCTCATCCATCATCACGCATACACTGACCTTCTTCGAAATCAAGCGTATCTCTTCCTAGGCTGTTCATGCTACGAATTTGGTCAAGAATGTGCCTTCTGCATTCAAGATTGTTGCTATATCTATATTAAATATTACATTTCAGTAATCTGGGCATATAAACAAATTATACAGCCCCCAAATTAGGCCCAAAGCTGTGTTGTGTATTATATATTGTTGCTAAATCTTTTCAGGTTTATTAAACTTATAGTGTTTCTATTAAATAGATTTACACATACATTTTACAATGTAGATTGTGTCAAAGCACCTTAACAGAAGTTCTAGTGAATTAAAACTGTCACGGTCCAGTTTTCAGAGTTGAACTTCAGTTTAGTTCAGGTCAGTGTGGTTTTATTTTCACTGCTGAAAGTCCAAACACTGAAGAGTATATCCATCAATGTTCAGCTTCACAAGTCCCAAAACCAAGCTCAATGTTTAATTAACAATTTTTTTTTTCTCTTGACTTTCCAAAACTCCAGAATCCCCAAAGAGGAGATGCATTTCCAGCCTCTGGAGGACATTGCTGAAAACCTGGAGGAATCTGGGACTCGGAATCACAACCTGGCCCTTTTTAACCGTCTCCTCGGCTCCGCCCCCTCCCCAACAAGCTTCATGGGTGGAGCTTTACGACGCACCTCCGCCCAGCTGCGCCGATTGACCCGCTCCGCCAGCACAGACCCGTCGTTCTCCGAGGAAGAGGATGAGGTAGTGATACCTGCTTTCAAAATAAATGAAGCTTCGAAACATTTACCAATCTGTGGTTTCGTAAAGGCTTCAAGCGTGTATCAAATTGGCTTGTTGTCAGTAAGCATGTCTTTGTTACATCATAACTGTTTTGAAATGCTCTGAATATTCAGTGGTTCTCCACCGGGGGGATCTGTGTAATACTATGTAATTGAACTTATTTTTGACGCACGAGCGGGTGAAGCTATTGGAATCTTTTTGGCTGGAAACTTCCGCTCTCATTAACTTCCACTGATTATTAGACGTTATAAACAGCTCGTTATGCTGCTCGATGTTGCAAACTGATATCTTCTAATCACATTATTCTCCTTGTCGTGTACAGTCATGAACACACTTGTTTGTAGAGCAAGAAGTTTAACTGTTTTCTGCTGTCTATTATTCCTTGTCATTTTTCCCATAGGAAACTGAATCGGAATATCCGAAACAATCGCAAAAACGAGCGCACTTCCACAATATTGCATAAGATCAATACTAATAATGTAAAATCAGTTTCACTCAGATCACCCCCAATGACAAATAGCTGACCGGTTTCATAGTTTTTACCTGATCACAAAACAGTTTTGTAATTTTTTTAGTAAGTTTCAAGCCTTGAAAATTAATAAAAGAACGCATAATATAATGACATTAGAGGATAAGCGAAGTGCATTTATAGGTTATACTTTCAATTTACAATTCGCAAAAGGTTTTAAGGGGTTTTAAACTCAAAAACTCATTCTTAAGATGCAGCTAACCACAGAGAGTTGGAACAGATCTTTTAATCCCAGTTTCTTAGCAAACCCTGTCCTGAGGACATTTATATGTGTTACTATGGAGATATGGTATTATGCTCCTATCTATTAACTTGGTGGGCCAGGAAAAATCCATTCCTACGTCACGTTGCGGTGTGCCTCAAAATCACTGGGATTTGGAGCCTATTTTAAGGTCAAGAAATAAAAAAAGGAGATTTCAGAATGACAGTGGACACCACTATGCTTCCACCCAGTTCTGTCCAAACACTGTCCAAAAGCCTTTTAAAGGTTCACGAAACCCTCGAGTACTTTTTTTGAGATTTTAACAGATGTGTGTGTGTTGAACATCAGTTAAGACAATGTTAGCACCTGTTAGCTTTAATTGTAGGGAAAACTGGATAATTTGGAGCTTTTGTCAGCTAATTTCAGCTTCCGGGTTTCAAATGATTTTTGGGGCGGGATCAAAATCGGCAACATGACGCAAAACTGCAAGTGCAAAGATGACGCGTCGCTTTCTCATTATTTTCATAGTGGAGTTTTCTTATCCTATGAGAAGAGCCGGCTTCATAATCAATCATGACTGCGGTGCTTTCCGAAGGCAGTGCAGACCTGCCAGTGCCAAGCTGTGAGATCGTACTTTGATGATTGGGTGAGGCCGTGTCCACGGACTCACGGCACGCAGTATTTAGCCGTTCATGAAGGGTCGTTTGTGTTTGTTTTCATGATCCACAGGGTTTGTTGCATGTTTTCCCTGCGATGCTGTCAGGGCCGATAAAGCAAAGCTGTTTGTGTGCATTTTTGTCGGGAGAGCAGCACGAGAATTGGAGAATGGTGGACGTTGTCTTTTATCAGGAGTTCGATTACATTTAGACACATCGCCGTGCTGCTTTGTTCGCTTAAATCCTCCATATTACCAACAGGGCTAATGGTTAAAATAGACAGGACAAGAGATCTGCTGCACTGAGTTTGCATTCAGACCAGGGGATTGAGGGAAAACATCGAGATCATTTATTTTTGCAAATTATATTGTTTTACACGCACACGCATTTAAAATCAAATCCAATATTAGATTTGGTAAAAACATGCCCTCGCTTTCCATATTAACTGAAATATAGGTAACTGGCACATATAGGGCCTGTGTTTACATTAAAAATATTATTGAGAACATATTCTATTCTAAATTAACATAAAATCACTTACAAAAGCTAACACTATTCTAATTTCATATATGAATCATATAAATAAATAAATAATAAGGCTATTTATTAAGAAATTAAATGTAATATTTTTCATTTATTAGGTAATTGAAAAAAATCCTACTTTAATAACTATATTAATGATGATGATGATGATGATGATGATGATGATGATTATTAAGTAGGATATTGTTTATTTATTTTATTAAATTTTTTTGAAAAGTCTACTTTTACAATTTGACACATGTAAACCACTGCAGAAAGTTCTATCCAGCAGGCCCATGTCATATACAGTACAGATACTTAATTAATAACCCACTGTAAAGGCAAAGAATTAACGTATGCTTTTTGTTTTCACGAGCTTTGGAGACGCAACATAAATTTCGCTTTTAATAATAGGTCACCTATAGCTTTCACCATGAGCCACGGATGTGTTCAAAATCGCATCAATGCTTTCAATGGCACTGCGAAGGAAGCACAATTGTATACATGAAGATCGCTAAAACTGACCTGTAAAAATAGCTTGAAAGCAAATTACACCTAAGAGAGACGACCTTAATGCTTTTTTATTTATATTAATTCCAAGTTTAAATGTTAGAATTTTCTAAATGAATAGGGCATAGGGGGGTTAGTGGGAATAGAACACAGCCAGGAACATTGTTTCTAACTACAGCTCCAGAGCTGTAGTTTCAAGTGCTCAAGTTTGCAATGTAGTTTGCGAATGTTCGTTGGAACGACAGATTTGGGAAACATCCAATCAACGAACTATGTTGGATCGACGGAACTTCTGACCTTAGTTGGCTAATGATGGTTTTGGGAAACGCACCTCTGGTACACAAAGTGTACAGGCTTAGGGGTCAGTTTCCAATTTTTGAGTCTGATCTAAGCTCTAGCGGTTTTGAACCCTTTCAATAAAGTGAACCATTTTGTGAAACTATTATTTAAACCGTTTCAAAGCTTGGTTTCTCCCATCAGCAGGATGAGGAAGAGGAGAGCGCAGGCAGGAGCGCAGGATCCCTGCCATCAGGACTGGCTCTGGACACCACACAGAGCACCGTCTGCAGCTGTGGAGGACTCTCCAGCCCCCGTCCCGCACTCTCACAGCTCCACTTCTACAGAGAAGAGTCACAGGTGGACAAAACCCCGGCAGAGTCCGGAAGGAAGAGTCCGCTTCATTTGGGACCCAAATCTAATCTTTACTCCTCAAACCGCTCTGTGCCCGACTTCTTCTCATTTCAGTCTATCAGTGACCCGGAGAAGGTGTTGACACCGAAAACACAAGCGGTTAATAATAAAGCAGAGTCTGGGTTGTCGTTACTCACAGTCCCATCGCTGAAAGTCTCAGCTTTTCCGGAGAACTCTGAACGAGAAGAAATGCAGCTGGATTCAAAATGGCTGCCTTCGCAAGTGCTGTAAAATGTAAATTTTTTTATTCAATGTTTGACGTAATCTCAACTGAAATATGAAGAGAGGGAGGGACATAGTGTAGCTCCGCCTTTTTAAAAAAAACAGCCAATCGTGTTTTGTTTTATCACAGCTCTTGCAGTGGGAGTCGTTGAGCTCAGGCACATCAAATGAGAAGCATCTTGAAGGGGGGCGGGGCATGTCAGATGCTAGAGAGCATTTGATTGGTCAGAAGATTTGAAGTATGAGGTCACAGAAATAAAACCGTTGGTGCATTTTGGTGGAAGTGACAAACTACAAGTTTTGCATGTTTATATCGGTTGATATCTTCTAAACGCAAGTTTTGGTGCGCACTAGATTAAAGATATCGTAAAAACTAACAATACTGATAGTAACATCTAAAAAACTTTAACATTTTTATTTTAATTTGAGGAGACCTTTATCCAGTGCTTAATTTGTAAATTGGAGGGGAGGGAGAGGTGTCGCGGATGAAAGAGAAGATCGGGAGGTGGTTGGGGTTGGTGGACGAAAGTGAAGAGCCGGGGGGCGGGGGAGGTGGGGTGGTGTCACGGACAAAAGTGAAGAGGTTTGAGGAGTCGGGGAAGAGTGGAGTGGGGCGAGGGTGCGTGTGAGGAGGGGAATCAGTAAAATGAGATGCCGAATCAGATTTTAGAGGTGCCTAATCCGGATCTGGAATGTTCCGACACAAATTAAGCCCTGCCTTTAGCCACCCTTTCTCTTACAGTTAGTTTGCTATGAGAGAATTTTGTGCAAAGAAAGCCCCGCCCCTACTCAATATTCAGTACATCAACTTACTGAAATAATTCTCAACAACATCCAGTTCATGCTGACTTCAGGCTGATTTATACTTCTGCGCCTAGCGCACGCATGTTACGGCGCAGCCAACGCGTGGACGCATATCCCTCGTCGTGGCTGTCGGCGTAGTTCATGCGCAACTCTCAAAAAATGTAGCTACACGACGCAACTACGCGTATCGCAAGCTTTGTGATTGAACGGCTTGGTATCGCTGAAGATTGTGGGCGGGACCATGAGCTGCGCGAGTCCGTTAGAGCGACTGTTTGCAAGAGTGGAGTCCCGTAGAGTTCGAAAAGTTTAGTTTTGTGTTTACCTCATGGTTAAAGTTGTTGCACGTCCGCCGGTTCCTGCCTCAAAATGAGTTTGAACCACTTGAACATTCAGGAAGCTTTCAGAAACAACGAAACACCAATGAAGAATCTCGACACAGAGGAACATAAACACTTCACTGCCAACTAGTGTTTCAGAAGTGTCATAGCAGAGGAACATAAACAGCGCGCAGAAGTATAAATGCACAGCTGCATGCAATGTGGGTCACGCCAATCACTTGACGCAGAAGTATAAACCAGGCTTTTCCTGTTGGACTCGCATATCTACCATGTTTGTAATTTTTTAGCAGCTTTGATGCTTGTAGTTCTAATCATATTCATGACCTACAGGGTAATATTGATCTATAATATCTGTGGCCAGAGTCCACATGAATCTCTGTTTTGAGTTTCTGACACAAAAAGTAGACTATCCGGGAAACATTCAAATGTTCATTTCAACATGCTATAATTTGGGACATACTCATTTTATTTTCGAATGCTCTTTAGGATGGATGGTTGGTGAATTGGGAAGCATTGTTTGGGGTCAAAGGTCACAGGGGTCGGATTGTAAGGTCAAACCTTTTTTAAAGTTTGTGATCAAATCAGATTTTTTTTCACACTTAGAGCAGGATGATTGCTTGCAGATTCTATCACATTGATGCATTATTATTGATATTGACGTTGAATTTGAATACTTTTCAGATGATTTGACTTTTTTTTCACATTTTTCTGAAAATGAATGGTAATCATGTGACAGGACACTGATCAGCAGCCACTGAAATAGTTTTTATAAACAAAAAAGGGTGTAATAGTTGCAAGAAAAAAAAAGTAGCTTTGCATCGCAAAATCGTGTTTTAAAAAGTATTAAAGTGTTATTTTTTTTAAAGTTTTATTAAAAACTTTTACTGTTTAAATCTTATAAATATCAAAACAAAAATTAGATCGCATATCTTATCTTCTAATTAGTTTCATATTTTTTCTTAAAGATTTTTAAAATGACTGAAGTTAAAAATGAGCAACTAATCAGCACCGAAATCAGTCTAGATAATAGTGGATGTCTATGTAAAATAGCAGTCTGACAAAAATAGTTTTCTCTTTTGAATATACTACAAAAAATGTACATTTATAACACAGCCAGAACTCTTATGAATATAAATAATAAAACGGTTTCATACTGATCAGTGTATGTTGGCTAAATTGCAGTGTTGTAAGCCTTTCAGTTTGAAAACCCCCTGTTGTAAGGTTTATGTTTTGCATAAAGCAATGTTTTCTTTTCTAACATAAGCCTTCATTACTAAAACATTTAAAAAATACTACTGACCACTAACTTTTGACCGTGTGTGTGTGTGTACAGTTGAAGTCAGAATTATTAGCCCCCGTTTATTTTATTTTTACTCCAATTTCTGTTTAAAGGAGAGCTGATTTCAACACATTTCTAAACACAATAGTTTGTTCTGTAGACTATAGAAAAAATAATCCATATGGGGCTAACAATTATGACCTTTAAATAGTAATAAAAAAAATAAAAATTTTAAAAACTGCTTTTATTCTAGCCAAAATAAGACTTTCTCCAGAAGAAAAAAATATATTATTTGTGATACTGTGGATATTTCCTTGCTCTGTTAACCATCATTTGGCAAATATGTATATATATATACATATATAAAATTCAGAATATGAGGAAAAGGAAAAGATTTATATATAAATCATATATAAATATATATATATATATATATATACACATTTACATATATATATATACATACACATATACATATATATATATATATATATATATATATATATATATATATATATATATATACACATACATTTACATATATATATACATTTACATATATATATACATTTACATATATATATATATATATATATATATATATGTATATGTATATATATATATGTAAATGCAGTGCCTCCAGGAATGTGGTTGAGAAACACTGACCTAGAGGATCCCAGAATTTTGTAGAAACATTTATTTTTATAATATTCCTGTAAACTGTTAATTATTTCTCTCAAGCCATTGGGCTCACAAAAAGGCGCCTCTGGAGAGACTGAAGAGAGGCTGATTTACACACATGCGACATTGAACTCTTGAAGAAATGTGTGAATGCTGACTCACAGAGATATAACTAAAAACTACTCCCACAGTGCTCTTCAACTCAAATCAAGGAGTCAAAAAGACTTTTTTCATGACTGAATATGATCAGTCCGATACAAAAAAAGATTTAGTATTTTAGGGTCTCCTTTAGTGTTCACGGGAAGCAAATTTATTGCATTCAAAGCGAATAGCAAATACAAATATAACCTAGAGGACATACTCTGAAACAAGTAACAAAACCTGGATATTTCTAAAATATTTCACCGTCTACAATTGAAGCATGACCTTGCATCCATTAAAAGAAACAATAAGCATTTTTTTTTTAAAGCTACTTCACGTTGACGACCAAATGCGTTTAATGTGAGCACTTTGTAAACAGTCACTGGAGTAACGCTCCTGAAATGTTTCATGCACTAATTTCTTCCCCATCAAGATATCACTGTTCAGTGTATTAGCAGCCAAACTTCATGCTGAGGGAAATCCGTCCCGTTTGTTCAGTCCCCGAGGGCCTGTTTTATCTCACTGCAATTATTCATTTTTAATGGACAGTCCTCTTTTTTTTTTTGAAAATATGCTAATTTTACAGCTCCTCCAGAGATATACAGATGAGGTTTAACATTTGAAGAACATTCAGACATTCTCTGAGTCTTGCAGGAGCACTTTTAACTTAGCTGAGCATAAATTATTGAATCGGATTAGACCATCAGCATCTCACTCATTACTACAATAATTAGTCTAATACCACACAGTGTAATTACAGAAGAGTCAAGCTTTAAATTGGAAAAATATCAAAACTCTGTTCATTTTTTAAGTATAATTTAATGCTAATGGTCTAATCCGATTCACTGATTTGTGCTAAGCTAAGCTAAAAGTTCTCCTGACAGACCCGAATATTAGCTGAATGGATTCAGTACTGTTGAGTTTTAACATTTTTGAGTCCATCTAACCGATCTTCACATCTAGCGTAAGCACTTTTAGCTTAGCTTAGCATAAATCATTGAATCTGATTAGACCATTAGCATCTTGATTATTAGTGCAATAATTAGTATTATAGCACACAACGTAATTACAGAAGAGTCAAGCTTTAAATTGTAAAACTATCGAAATTCTTTGCTCAGTTTTTAAGTGAGATGCTAATGGTCTAATTTGATTCAATGGTTTATGCTAAGCTAAGCTAAAAGTGCTCCTGCCAGACCAGAAGATCAGCTGAATGAATTTAATACAGTTGAGATTTAACATTTTTGAGTCCATTCAACTGATCTTTAGGTCTTGCGTGAGTACTTTCAGCTTACCTTAGCTTAGCATAAATCATTTAATTGGATAAGACCATTAGCATCTCGCTCATGTAAATACAGAGGCATCAAGCCTTGAATTGGAAAACTATCGAAACTCTTTGGTCAGTTTTTAGGTGAGATGCTAATAGTCTAATCTGATTCACTAATCTTTGCTAGTCAAATTAGCCGATCTCTAGGTCTGCGGGAAGCACTTTTAGCTTAGCTTAGCATAAATCATTGAATTGGATTAGTCCATTAGCATCACACTCATTAGTACAATAATTAGTCTCATAGCACACAACATAATTACAGTCGAGTCGAGCTTTAAATTGGAAAACTAGCGAAACTCTGGTAATTTTTAAGTGAGATGCTAATGGTCTAATCCGATTTAATGATCTATGCTAAGCTAAGCTAAAGGTGCTCCCGCCAGACCTGAAGATCAGCTGAATGGATTCAATACAGTTGAGTTTGACCATTTTGGAGTCCATTCAGCCATTCTCTGGGTCTCGTGGAAGCACTTTTAGCTTAGCATAAATCATTGAAACGGATTAGACCGTTAGCATCTCGCTCAGTAGTGAAATATTTAGTCTTATAGCACATGATTCAATTACAGAAAAATCAAGCTTAAAATTGTAAAACTATCGAAATTGTTTGCTCAGTTTTTAAGTGAGATGCTAATGGTCTAATCCGATTCAATGATTTATGCTAAGCCAAGCTAAATGGTAAAACTCTAGGGAGGCTATAAAATTAGCCTATTTACAAAAAAGCTTAGTGTACTATTAAAGGGCAGATTCATAATGTTCGGTTGGCATTTTCTACTATATTGGCTGTAGTCTTGTGAAAAAGTCTCACCTCAGGAGTAACTGTGTGTGTGAATGTGTTAGAGGGAAAGAGGGAGTGTGTGAATGTTTGCCTTCAAGTATGAGTGTTTGTTGAGAAAGAATATCATTAACATCCGCAGCCGCCGCTCTGTCCATCAGGGGGCGTGTCTTGAAGACTGGGCCCTTTCTGATTGGTTAAGATGCTCGGGTCTGTGTCCAAGCTCTCGTTCATTTTGTCACAGATGATGTCGACCAGACGCTCAAACACCTGCTTGACGTTAATGTTGTCCTTCGCACTTGCCTCAAAAAACTGAAAACCTGCAAACAAATGAAAAAGAAAACAAAGACAAGAAACGGAAAAGAGAAAGAAAAGAAGAGACATTTTAGATTGTTTATGCATATAAAAAAAAAATATAATTTTATTAAGACTTTCTTTACAAGTCTCCTTGTCAAAGTGTGTTGCTTTAAAACTCAAGAACAAAAAAATAAATAAATAAAAATAAATAAATGAAATAAATAAATAAAGAGTTATTATTACGCCTGTCTTAATGTCAGTTAAGAAAGAGTCGAGCAATTATACATCACATTTTTTATTTGATAAAGGTCCAAAACAACCCCCGAAATATGACTTTTATAACCAGAACAAACAAATATTTGGGACTTTTTAACAAGCACATTGGGCAAATAGGGTGACTTTTATTTTGACAGACACAATTAGGTGGTCATTTTCATTAGTTTACTGCAGAATTAAATTCTTAAATACTGTACAAAAATTCTATTTAAATAGTATATTCATTTTTCTTCGGCTTAGTCCCTTTATTAATCAGGGGTCGCCACAGTGGAATGAACTGCTAACTATTCGAGCATATGTTTTAGGCAGCAGATGCCCTCCCAGCTGCAACCCAGTACTAGGAAACACCCATACTCTCATTCACACACACACACACACACACACACTATGGCCAATTTAGTTTATTCAACTCACCTATAGCGCATGTCAAACCCACACCAACCAGAGGAGAACATGCAAACTCCACACAGAATGACAAGTGACCCAGCTAGAGCTCGATCCAGTGGCCTTCTTGCTGCGAGGCAAGAGTGCTAACCACCGAGCCACCATGTCGCTTATGCAGTGACTCTTGCAAATGTCAAAATTTCAAGCTTTATATAAAGTAGAATTTGTTTTCATATGATCAATTTTACCCAAGCAAAATTCAAAAATGAGCTTTCAAATGAAATAAATCGTCTGAATTCAACTTTAAATATTTATTTTAGTAAATGTTATGTAAAATAAATATCAATTAATTTGACCTATGTTCAATGTTTATTTGAAAAAGTCTATCAAAAAAATCCACGTCATTTGAATTCCACATGTGATGTCATCTTTTTTGTAAATTTTATGTAAAATAAAAAAATCTATTTTACTGATTTCTTTAAATATTTTTTTACTATCTAAAATAAAATCCTCCATCAAATGAAAAGTCCATCAAAAAAAATCCATAATTTAAAAACCACATGCTTATAATGTCAGAACTCATCATATCTAGCATCTATTGGGCAACTAAATAACATGTACATCCTTTGAACAACACAACTGCTCTTGGCACTTCAAAAGGTCTGTCATTAAAATCATCACTTCCTGTCTTTTCTGTTGTCCAAATAAGGCTCTGCAGCCCACAGGAAGCACAGAAGCTCAAGGGTCATGAGCAGAATCCAAAATTAACACTTGACACACAGCACCAAATGAGAGTAAAAGTAGGCTTTTTTATTACAGGTCATCCATTCAGCTCGACCCAATACTCTAAACCTTTTTTTTTTTTACTTGAAAAATTCAGTGCATTTCTGATGAATATGCATAGAAACATCATGAACTCTCCTTTATACCTCGTGCTTAAAAGTTGTATAGATAACTTATAATTGATAGTGTTTGATGTTTATTAATTATGGTTTATATTTGTGTGTTTATCCTGTAATAAAACAATATTTGACCGATAAAAATATTAATATGAGTGTGTTTGATGCATTTCAGGGCATTGTGCTGCAACACCCTGTCCTGTAAATTTTAAACTAAACTAACAAGAAAGCATTAGAAAAGTACTTGGAAAAAGGCATATACTACAATATAATGCAATTGTAGCATTTCATAAGCTGAAGGAAAAGAGAACGAATGAATGCTGCATAAAAATAAATATAAAGCTATTTCACTCTCTTCCAGCAGGTGGCGCTTACAGAACAGCCAGAATAACAGCATTCCTTAGATATTTCTGGAAGCAAAGCAGTTGCACTGGTATTTTAAGAATATTTATTAGTAGTATTTGTACTTGTATTTGGTGTTTGCACTGGTATAGAAATATAAATCTTAATGAAAACACTAGGTTCCACTCATAACTTGCTTACATTAACAAAAGAACTCAGCACAACAATGCTTAGGATCTTTTTTCCCAAATGTTTCACACATCACAACATGCTCCATCTGCTGACCTGTTTAAACAGCTGCCGGCGAGTTTTTCAGATATAACATTTGAGTAATTTTAACAATTGTGCCATACAAATGTACATGTTGAGACAAAACAAAGGCCGATCAGTCAGTGCAGGTTTCTTTAATCGAAACAGCTAAAACTTGCATTTTAATTTGGGATTTGTTGGTGAAACTCGGGGAAAGTTTGTTTAAGTTAATGCAAAATATCTCAAATTTTTCTGTGATTTTTTTATTCCTTGCCATGTGGTGTGATCACATGAATAAACACTACAGAAATTTACAGTAAATCCTATAGTGTTTTTAAACTGTATCTGTTAAGTGTTTTATGTATACTGAAGTATTTATAATTCTTTGTTACTGAACACCAAAGCGTACTGTTATATTAACTACGGTAAACTGATAAAATACTGTAGTAAACTTTAATTTTTACTGTGCATTTTATTATAATATACCCAATAATTTTAGAACTCCTAGTGCAATATTTGGTCATTTGTTTATACTAATATTCTTATTGTTTTACCATAGCAGCTACACATTACCAGATTAATCTGTAGTCACTTATTAGGCTCAAAACTCTAATATGTAGTAATATTCTTTACTATGGATTTTCTTTTTCACTTTTTTTTCATTTCTAGTTTTGTATATGCTGAAACGTGCCTAGCTCATTGGCCAGTCTCTGTCCGTCCTCTCTGGCCACCAGTCTGTCGTCCTCCAGATCACATTTATTCCCCACCAGAATCACCTGAGCGTTGTCCCATGAGTATGTTTTAATCTGAGTCGCCCTGGAAAACACACACACACACACGAACGCTGTTAATGGTGTACATACTTGGAGCATGTTCAATAAAATGTGTAGTATTTTGACAAGAAGCATTTGACATTTCATTCAAGTTTTGGCGAAAAAATCGTTAGAAAAAATTCAGCTACATTTTTAAAATGCATCGCTATTTTCTCTTGAGTAAATTCTGAGCTTAGTTTAGAAGAGAGGAGGGAGGTCTATGCTAGTTTTAAACAGAAAATGGTGCTCTAGCTTAGTTTTGAAAAGAAGATTGAGCTCTAGGCTAGTTTTGAACAGAAGACGGCAATCTAGCTTAGTTTTGAACAGAGGATGGCGCTCTAGGCTAGTTTTGAACAGAAGACGGCGCTCTAGCTTAGTTTTGAACATAAGATGGCGCTCTAGGCTAGTTTTGAACAGAGGATGGCGCTCTAGCTTAGTTTTGAACAGAAGATGGCGCTCTAGGCTAGTTTTGAACAGAGGATGGCGCTCTAGGCTAGTTTAGAACAGAAGATGGCGCTCTAGCTTAGTTTTGAACAGAAGATGGCGCTCTAGGCTAGTTTACAACAGAAGATGGTGCTCTAGCTTAGTTTTGAACAAAAGATGGCGCTCTAGGCTAGTTTTGAACAGAGGATGGCGCTCTAGGCTAGTTTTGAACAGAAGATGGCGCTTTAGGCTAGTTTTGAACAGAATATGGTGCTCTAGGCTAGTTTAGAACAGAAGATGGCACTCACAGGCTAGTTTTAAACAGAAGATGGCGCTCTAGGCTAATTTAGAACAGAAGATGGCACTCACAGGCTAGTTTTAAACAGAAGATGGCGCTCTAGGCTAATTTAGAACAGAAGATGGCACTCACAGGCTAGTTTTAAACAGAAGATGGAGCTCTATGCTAGTTTTGAACAGAAGATGGCACTCTAGGCTAGTTTTGAACCAAAGATGGCGCTCTAGCTTAGTTTTAAACAGAAGATGGCGCTCTAGGCTAGTTTTGAACAGAAGATGGCGCTCTGGGCTAGTTTTGAACAGTAGATGGCGGTCTAGACTAGTTTGAACAGCACTAGGCTAGTTTTAAGCAGCTGACGGCACTCTAGCCTAGCTTTGTATGTACAGCACCATCTGCTGTTAAAGACTAAACTCAGAATCAATTAAAGATAGAATAGCGATGCTTTTTGAAAGTCATAATTGATTTTTGAGCACAGCTCTACATTTCAGACACTTTGACTTCCACATAGTTTTGCATTAAGTAAACAAACTGGCACTTGAGCATCTGATAATAGAAGCATGTCTAAATAAAGGAAGTGAACTCACCAGTCCTGCACGGCGTAAAAGGAATCTTGGTTAGTGATGTCATACATGAGCAGAAATCCCATGGCCCCTCTGTAGTAAGCTGTGGTTATGGTTCGGTACCTCTCCTGTCCCGCTGTGTCCTGAACAACAGTATTAAAAAGAACATTCTGAATTGACCATTCACTAAGCCACACCCAAAAACCACCACCCACCAATCGTGACTTAGCAACCGTAGCTACGCGCAGGGACTCTGTCAAGCTTTCGAGCGAGGGAAACAGGCCAAAGCATTGTGCATATGGATTGTGCAAATCTGATACCTGTTATCCTAAAAGTTTGGACGGGGTGGTGGAATTTTTTACCTTTTCAAAATGCACGAAAGCTTGACAGGCGTAGCAACAGTAACTAAAGAGGGCGGGTCTTAGTGAAGGGTCAATTACACTGCAATATTCAGATCACCTCATCTTTATATCTGATATTATTAATATTTATTTTCTTATATCCTTATTTTCTTATTTATTTGTGAGTTTTATACAATGCAGATTTAAATGGATAAACGAGAAAAGATAAAAGGCATAACAATATTTCACTTTGTAGGACATATTCAGCAGTTCAGGCAGTTCAGTTAGATTAAAACTAAATTCAGTTGAATCTGAATGTCACTGTTATAAGAGGATCCACTGTAGAGCAGCTCCACACAACTTAACCAAGCACGTCTTTAGATCAATTAATAAACAATGTTTGATTGTTTTAAGTGTTTAAGTGTTTTCACCATGCATATCACTTCAAAACAGCTGTAAAAGTGCAAATATACAAGCATTTTGCTTGGTTTAGGGACTTTATTTGTGGGTTAAAAATCAGACGTTCCATTTTGGTGTGTGAATCAAATTCATTCATTCATTCATTTTCTTTTCGGCTTAGTCCCTTTATTAATCTGGGGTCGCCACAGCGGAATGAACCGGCAACTTATCCAGCATATGTTTTACGCAGCGGATGCCCTTCCAGCCGCAACCCATATCTGGGAAACATCCATACACACTCATTTACACTCATACACTACGAACAATTAAGCCTACCCAATTCACCTGTACCACATGTGTTTGAACTGTGGGGGAAACCGTAAAAAAATTCAAAGATTTTTATTTTCATATTTTGTTTAAAAGTTTAAAAGATAAAGCAAGCAGCGTTGAATAATAGTTTAAATTCTCTTTTATTCACAAAACTAGACTAAATGTGTCTTCAGAAAACTGCACTGCCTAAAAGTGTTAAAAATCACAGCATTATTGACAACATTGGTTAACGTTCATATTAACAATAACATCACTGCACATAGATCTTGATCATCTGCCTAATTTCTGTTAATGCACGTCTATGGTGTAAATAAAGAAAGAAACTAATTATGCAAGTGACTGCAACGTAAATAAAACAGTCTTGGGTTTAGAGGTTAACAGCCATGCTAATGTGGTAACCAGGCAACGTCCGACTAGTTTCCATGATACCGAAAAGCCTTGACTTGATTTAGTGCGCTCTGACCTCACCTATGCAGGTTGCCATGGTAACTCTTGGTTTGGGCAGCTGTCGGAGGGTTGTATATAAATATATGCATGCATTGTATTTTAGGGGGAAAGCTGAATGGAAACTAATGGGAGCTTGACAAAAGCCTCTGACCAGTCTTTCAACAGAGATAAGATGTGCACCTGCAATTCTCACACACACACACACACGCACACACACACACAAGCACACAAATGGACTTTCCATAGGCGTATTGTATTTTATACTGTAATAAGCACTTATTATTTGGCCTTACCCTAACCCTAACCTTAACCCGCATAGGAAACCTTTAGCAAAGTATAATTTTTTACGTGTTTTGAAACACCTTACAGCCAAACCAACTTAATGAAGTGCAACTAGATACAATTACTCACGTCATTAAATAATATTTGTCCCCCTAAACCACATAAACAAGTACACACTACGGCTGCACAGTACTGAAAAACAAACCTGACATTGTGCTAAATATTTTTCTGCATTATATATTGCAATATGAATATAATTACACAAGATGACTATCGACAGAGATAAGATGTGCACTTTCAATTTACACACACAAACACACACACACTCGTATTGTATTTTATACTGTAAAAATAATTAGCTTATTTGGCCTTACCCTAGCCCTAACCTTAACCCTATTAGGAAACCTTTGGCAAAGTATGATTTTTTAAGTGTTTTGAGTTATCTTACAACCTAACTAACTTAATAGAGTACAACTAGAAACATCTACCCATGTCATTATACAATATTGGTCCCCAAAGCACATAAACAAGTATAAATATTTAAACAATCTTATTTATAAATATTTAAATCAAATATAATCTATTTGTAGAAGTAGAAAACTTAAAATGTCTTGTGTCCAAATGGTTTAAATTAACTTGCGATATGGCTATTGCTTATTATTAATGCTGAAACGATATATTGTGCAGGCCGAGTACACACACACTCACACACACAAATGGACTCTTCATAGGTATTGTATTTTATACTGCAAAAAAAAAATGCTTATTTTATTGGCTTACCCTAGTCCTAACCTTACACAAGATAATATTATCACAATTTTACATTCACTGTGATGATTTTGTTGGGGAGTATGTCTGTGTAAAATACACAAAATGACACAAAAATACACAAAAACAACATTATTTAAAGCACATATGAAAATAACAGAACAAAGATAAAAATTAAATAGACAACACTATGGGTTTTCAGTGGAATCTAACACTGAGATATAGAAATGCAATAATCAAATGTAAAAATAACAGCAGTTTGTTGTGTAAATATATAAACCCAATAAAATCAGATAGTATTTAATTGTTAAAGCAGAAAACTTTAAATGTCTTATGTCCAAATGGTTTAAATTAACTTGTGATAAGATATCTGCTGACTATCGATGCTGAAACGATACACACACAGACTCTTCATAGGTGTATTGTTTTTTAAACTATAAAAAGTGCTTATTATTCTAGCCCCAACCTTAACCCGCATAGGAAACCTTTGGCAAAGTATGATTTTTAAGTGTTTTGAAATACCATACAGCCTCACCAACTTACTAGAGTGCAACTAGCCACAACTACTCACGTCATTATACAATATGTGTCCCCATAAAGCACATAAACAAGTACACACTATGGCTGCGAGGTACTGAAAAACAAACCTCAGATTGTGATCAATTTTTTTCTGCCTTATATATTGCTATATGAACATAATTACACAATATGACTATCAACAGAGATGAGATGTGTTTATGTGTGTGTGAATTGCAGGTGCACATATGGACTCTCCATAGGTATTGCATTTTATACTGTTAAAAAAAACAAAACGCTTATTATTTGGCCTAACCCTTGCCCTAACCTTAACCCGCATAGGAAACCTTTGGCAAAGTATGATTTTAAGTGTTTTGAAATACCTTACAGTCTCACCAACTCACTAGAGTGCAACTAGCCACAACTACTCACGTCATTATACAATATGTGTCCCCGTAAAGCATGAACAAGTACACACTATGGCTGCGAGGTATTGAAAAACAAACCTCACATTGTGATCTATTTTTTTTCTGCCTTATATATTGCTATATGAACACAATTACACAATATGACTATCAACAGAGATGAGATGTGCACAATTACACTATGACTATCAACAGAGATGAGATGTGCACCTGCAATTCACACACACATAAACACATATGGACTCTCCATAGGTATTGCATTTTATACTGTTAAAAAAAACAAAACGCTTATTATATGGCCTAACCCTAGCCCTAACCTTAACCCACATAAGAAACCTTTGGCAAAGTATGATTTTTAAGTGTTTTAAAATACCTTACAACACTTAGTACCTTAATAGAGCATGACTAGGTACATCTACCCATGTCATTATACAATATTTGTCCCAGTAAACCACATAAACAAGTACACACTAGGGTTGCACATCATTGGGAAAAAAAAAAAAAACTCTCATTGCAATATAATTTTTTTTGGCTTAAATATTGTGATATGATTTCAATTACACAAGATGACTATTATCAGAGATAAGATGCGCATCTGCAATTCACACACACAAACACATATGGACTCTCTATAAGTATTGAATTTTATACTCTAAAAAACACTTATTAAATGGCCTTACCCTAACCCTAACCTCAACCCTAATAGGAAACTAATGATCTTTAAGTGTTCTGACTCAGCTTACAACCTAACTAACTTAACAGATTACAGCTAGGTACAACTACGAATGTCATTATACATTATTTGTCCCCGTAAAACCACACAAGCAAGTACACAGACACACATAAATGCATGATGACTAGATTTACAAGAAAGACAAGTGGATCATATCTATATTCTGGCCCCGTAATCTGGCATCTAAAGGAACTGAACGCAACCCTTCAGGAAGTGGCAAATGTCAGTGCAATAATTATTTAACATCTATGACTGTGTCAATACGGTTAAATCTACAGAACGCAGTGATGAATAATCTAATGCAATGTGTAATATTTGCTCTTCCTCCACAGTGAAATGCCTCAAATTACATTTGTCTCTGCCTTTAAATCATGAACTCCTCCTTTAAGCAAATAAGAGAGGGACAAATGTGAACACGCACATGTACTGCATGTTTTAGGAGTTGCTGATCGGAATAAAAAGTACTTCATGGCTTTCACTTTTAGGGATAACTAAAGGCTAGATCAGATAGTATATTAAACAAATGGAACACTGCATGAATATTAGCTTTTGAAGATCTTAAAATGAGGATTTGGATTGGCTTTCGGGTTATTGATCGCCTCTCTGACTAAAGCCCTTCTCCACCGATTACTCAGCTTAGATGGCCGGCCAGCTCTAGGAAGAGTCCTAGGGCCTCATGTACGAAGACTTGCGTTGAATTCATACTAAAAGATTGCGTACGCACAAAGCTGTAAATGTGCGTACGCAGTAAAAAATTCATATATACGCGGAATCCCATGCATATTACCTTTGTACATCCGAATTAACGTGAAATTAAACACAAGTGAACGAGCGCAAAACCCCTCCCTACCTCCTCCCCTGTATGAATATGGTAATGACTCTACTTTGGCAAAACCAAACAA